CTTCCAATATGCATTATTTGTTTCAATTCATTGGGATTGCCTATTCCTTTCATACTGTGGTATATTGATGCACATAAACTCATTACAACACATTGTTGCCTTGCATTTTGTCCAAATACAACAACATCTCCTTGACTATATGGCACTTTTATTGTTTTACGGGGATCCACATGGTGCATACCAGGATTAGGGTTTTCTTTATATCATTAGAGAACTTGTTCTTTGCACAATTGCCTCTGTGAATTACATCCATGTACTCACTATATGGGAAATTACACAAAAAGAACCTTAAGTATTAGAGATATTTCTTTCCATGTTTATCTCTACTTGAATTGTAGACATATCTCATTCAAGAGTTAACATTTCTTGTTCTAAAAATTGGTTTCCTTCTCATTTTTTGTACAAACCTGACTCTTGTGTTGTGTGTACTTTTCTTTCGTGTTGTATTATTTTTAATAAGATCACTGACTTTCGATTACTTTAGTACCTTTTTACTAAGACGGCTCCGTACATAACTCTGCAGTTTTCTACTTTTCTGAGAGAGACGTTTTCTCATATTCACTGCTACTCTTTTTTTTGCTTGGTTCACGATCACGTTTATAGCCATGACATTAACACAAAACACGAGTACAATTATAATATACATACTTTGCAGAACGAGATCTGAATTGTTGTACTTTAATTGACACTGTAACACTATTATGTTCGTGTACATTAGTCATATTGACAACTTTTTCTAGTATATCACAGTCATCAAGAGTATTCATGTCTTCTACTAAGTACATACAACTCCATACGTAGAGCAAACCAACATTCACGATCGCTTGTACAATAATAATAGTGATTATGTACGAAGTACCAAATCGTACCTTACAAGTATTGAACCCAGTAAAAACCAATAACAGAAACAGGATATTTAACGGAAGTGCTAAGCTTAGATATTTAACCTTACTATTCAAGTTGCTTCTGTCAGTATCCTTATCCAATTCGCTGTTGTTAGCGCCACCTTCGAAGTTGTGTTCACGAACATTCTTGATTTTTTCAGCAAGTGAGGTGTTCGTCTCAGCATCATAGTTTGTTGTTAAATCGGCTGTCACGGGTTTGCTAGTATTTTCGTAGTTTGAACTCACATTTGGCTCAGTTATATCGTGAGAATTAGTATGAACTTCGCACATTTGGTTAGCTTTCAAGCTATAGAGTTCGTGGACCGGCCCATTCCGAAAACTCTCGACATCATCTAATGTGGGCCTACCACGAACGGCGTGTGCGTTTATATGTGAGATGAGGGTATAGGACAGAAATCTTTGCGATGTGGTCTTCACAAGACACAGCATTCTGTAAATGATGTTGTTTACGAAGAGCGAGCACACGATAACACAAGTTGTCGCACTCTTATCCCCAGTTTCCACGGTTTACGCAAGGAACGCCTGGGACCATGGTCCCCCTTTTGGCGACCAAGAACGAATTATATTTTAAGACTCGGGCTTTCCTACGGAAGCCCGATTCACAAGGAACCGCCCATCAGAACAAACTAACTGTCACGTACCGTGTACGGTCAATTCGAAGTTAATGCTCGACTACCGTAAAGTGATGTCCATTCGCCGAATAAAATCCTTTTTAGTAAGTGATCGATAGCTTTTACCCCCTGGTACGGTGGAAAAAGACAGGTTCGTTTAATTGAAGGGGAGATATTGATCTCGATGACTACTCTTCTTTAACCGAATCACTCAAGTAACTGTACCGTGGATGATTTTGTTTGACATGTTACATATGTAAACACATCTCGATTGTCGACTGCGGAAATGCCGCATAATTTTAGGTACCTTCATCTTCTTTCAACCTTTGATGCGATAGGAAAGTAACTGAGAGAAACAGCATGGTTTCTCCCAGAGTTCTGGCTGAAAGTTATAATTCAGGATAACAATACCACCCGCTATAGCTGCCTGCGGTTATCGTGAGTCACTCGGTTGAGACTAAGAAGCTGCAAGAACTTTCAATAGAATGCAAGAATGTATCTGCTGTCAGTTGTTGAAACGAAAGGCTTGAACAGT